CAGCCTCTAACTGTTTCCCATATACCTACTGACCAGTTCCTCTCCACTTTCATGTGCTCCTTTCAAACTCATCTTCCCTCTGAGGTCTCCTTGATTAATACACAAACTACCCTTTGTCTCCCCTAAGCTCAATCTACTTTTTCTTTTCTATTAATAGCAATAAACACGCTCTGTATTTTACTTATTATGTTTATTGTTTAAGGAACATTTCCCAGCCCACTCTGCTACTGCTAAAATATGAGTTTTATGCTCATAGAAATCTTTTCTTTCACATATTGATATGCTTCAAGTGCTTGTGAACAGTGCCTAGAACAGAGTAGGTATAAAATAAATAGTTGCTGAATGACCAAACTAACACTGGCTTTGGCATCTAAGGTAGCACTAATTGGAAAGTCTGTGTGAGGCCAGATTTAGAGAAGAGTAAAGCCAAGGGCAGAAAATAAAATTTGTAGCATGTATACTGAAACAACAAGGCTTAGTTTCTTTAAACACAAACCTACGTGGGCAGCATTTATCTATAGAATTTCTGCAAAAATGTATTTTTCAAAAGCTCTCCTATTGGAGAAAGTAAATGAAACTAACCAGGTTCATATATACAAAAAAAAAAAAAAAAAAAAAAAAAAAAAACCCTCTTGGCACACCAACTAAATAGGTTTTTTTCTTCTTTAAACTTCTGCATCTGTGTAAGATTGCCCCAGAATGATTGCCAATTTTATTTTCTTAATCTAAGTTCTATTCTCATTACCCTTCCATTTCTATTTTTTATCCTCAGGGAAAGAGAGAGCAGTTAGTACCAGGGCATTCTCACGTCTTCCAAAGAAATGGCATAGGTGTTAATCTTGTATTTATGTTTGATGTGGATAATGATGGCTATGACCGGAGCTGCAGGTTTGTTAATATGCAGGGCTCTCACCTCATTAGTGGCGAGGTATGTTTTGAAGTTAAGCTGCAATGTTTCCTGTAATGTCGGATCTGGCCTAACAGATGTTCTCACTGTTCATTTTCTTTGTTTTTACCCATAGTCAGTACGTGCTATGCTTATAGGGCTCTCCCATATGCCTTTTAATAAACACAACTTTCCACAGTAGTTAATTTGGTGGGTATTTCAAACATTTTTAATAATTATGTCCTCAAGTGGAATTATCACACATTTGGTTTATTTTAGAGAAAAGATTTTCATAATTTTTGACTCAGTAATATAAAGTATAATAAACTCTCTCCCTGGCTTGGTTTTGGAGAGGTGTATTCTTATTAACTGGATAAGGTGATTAATTCATAGTTACAATGAAAACAGGCCACATTCTTGGCATTCATTTGTTTATGAAGTCCCCGCACATATATCTCAATCAAATCTTAAAAAGAGCAAAGAAAGAGTAACACCTGATTCCATATAACATTTGATGACACATTATGAATAGCAACTGCTATGCTTGAATTTCCAAAACAATTTTCAATTAACATAATATACTATCAAATAAACTAACTTTTACCAGACTAACACGCCTCGTGGGATGGGTGGTTTGCCATTGCTTATTGTCCAGATTTCATTCTCCTCACTGGATATACAGTATGGGATAGACTCCAGGTTTTCAAGAGTTTGTTTGGAAGCCATTAACGATGTTTAGTCAATTCTGTAATATACTATTTATAGATACATTTTCTATGGATAAAATCCAGGACCACTGTACTCCAAGGAAGCCATTTAAATGTGAAAAATAGTTTGTTCTCTTTTCTCATTAGATACTGAACACATGTCCATTCCTTAATCTTTTGAAATCGGTGCTCATAAGTACAAAGCAATTTCCTTTTTTTTCCTCTGATTTTTTTTTTTTTTCTTTTTTTCTTCTTCTTTATTTTATTTATTTATTTTTTTTAAGACAGGGTTTCACCGTGTTGGTCAGGCTGGTCTTGAACTCCCAGCCTCAGGTGATCCGCCTGCCTTGGCCTCCAAAGTGCTTGGATTACAGGCGTGAGCCACCACGCCCGGCCCATTTCCTCTGATTTTTTAAGAACAGCATTAGAATATGATGATCAGAGGGTAACACAGGTACTTAGACCAAGACAAAGGGGGAAGAGGTACAGATCACTCGTTAGTATTTCTCTTTCACCATCTTCTTTTCACTGTCCTCTCACAGTGCCTAAACCAGGCTCTGCCAACCCTGCAGAAGGACCCCTGTCTTTGATTTGACAATGTGACACACGTTCAGCTAGAATTCCCAACATCATTCATTTAGAGAAAGCAAAAATGAGTACATATGCTTTTAAGAAGGTACAGCAGTGAGCTTACATACCAAAAGTGCATAAACAAGTATTATCTATTTAATTGCCTTAGCTGAACTTAAAAGCTCTGATCTTTAATTGCCTGATTGAACTGATCTAAAAAGCTACAATTTTTTAATCAAGAAGAAAATTAAATAGCTTTTGTAAATAAAAAGGCATCTTTAATCTTATTTTTATGGAATCCAAGTTATTAAATATGGACAAAACAGCTAAAACATTAAGTTAACAACTACTCAATCTAGGGTAAATTTCTCATTACGATGCTTTACAAAAATCTTCAGAGACACCTGGCTTCTTTGAGTCTTTAATAAAAACACATGCTTTTAAGTCCAGAAGGTAAAAGTTTCCATGAATAGCTGGGAAACGCAAAAGCTAAATAGGAATATATCTAATGAGGTGTATTACCACAGCATATTTATTTCTATAGTTAAGTGTCCATAACTACTGGAATATAACTGTTCATCTGCACTTCAATTCATTACTCTTTCCATTTAGACAGATGTAGGTGCACACTCATTCACCGAAATTCCTTGAAAGGACACGCTGGCCCTCCACCACTGCTCTTACTCTGTCCCCAACAGATCTATTCTTCTCACAACAGGTGGCATTGTATAGTGGGTTACTCTCTGCAGGAACTGGGCTGGCCAGCACCAAGTGAAAAAGTAAGCACAGGCCCAGGATGCCCTTTTGAAACCTCTATGCTCTCCATCAGCCAAACCACTGCAGCCTTTGTCTGTCACTGATGAAAGAGTCCTTTCTTAGCCCAAGTTACAAGCAGGGATGAAAAGAAGGACCTACTGGCTTCTGAGAGGCTCTGGTCCACCAAGCTTGGCCACAGTGATCATAAAGTGGTTATACAGAGAATCCGACCCTAGACATTATTTTTAGATTCAGACAAATCCATTTCAAACACGTCTATAAAGATCCCATTTCAAATGAAAAATCTAGGCAGTTTTCCCAAATCCAGAGTACAAATTAAAATCAAATAATTTAGATATAGGGATACTAAAGGCACATCAACTTATCAGCATCATTTCTAATTTAAAAGAAGAAAAATCAAGATAATGGCAGAACAACTAAAACATATTTCCTATCTACTATAGTTCTTCATGGTAATAAGATTCCTTACAGAAAGTTATAGCTAGAGAGGGATTTCATTATAAGCCAGCATTAACCTGTATGCCCAGAGTACAGGATGATGCTAACACTCACTTTCTAACAAAACTCAAATTTCCATGGCACTGTCCTTTTAAAGAAAGCTTTGATACAGAAAATGAATGTTTTTCCTTTAGTTCTCTTGTCAAACGGATAGCACATGTCCATTTTTAAGAAATCAATACATGATGAGAACTGACCATTGGGTTTTTATTAAAATGGTTATCACTACTTTACAGGTTGCTGGGTGTTTCTATAGGGAATAGAAACAATAGTGGTTGTATCATGTTAAATACTGTTATCTTTTAACCTCGGTAGTCAAAAATGTTCCATTTTTCTTTCATCCACCAAATGTGTTTACATACTTATTTACACCGAGTGAAAGTAACACTGACATAACTCACTGTCCCTGCATCTACATTTTGCACCCACTATACTCTAGAAATGGAGTGGACTGGCTTTAAAAAGAAATCTAGTTGATGATTCCATTTACTCAGTATAAATACCTGCAAAAACCTGAATATTTTATCTGTCGAAATCTAGATACCCTCATTAAAAGATGGAGGAGGATTTAAGAAGAAATGTAGAATCACTAGGATATTAAAACCACCGCAAAAGAAAACCACCCCTAGTGGCAGATATGACATCACAGTTGAAAACATCAGTTGTTTTCCCCATCTCAGTTTATACCCCTTTTTTAAAAAAAACCTTCCTTTAATCACATCTAATGTGTATGCTGTTGCATTCCCCAAATGTACATAAAGCTAAGATGAGCAGATGTGTAAAATTAAACAGCACTGTTAGTAACATTAAGCCTTGAAGTTGCTTTATTATAGTCTCTTTCTCACTTAATAACTTGCTCCAAATGAATTCAGGTATTTTGGGAACGTTAAAAAAAAAAAAAGGAGATTCCTTTTGCAATATTCAACAGTTATCTGATTATTCTCTCATATGTTCTGTTACTAGACAAGGGGACTATTCCTGATGGCTTTCACCAACATCTTATTTAAAGTTTTACTTTTGGCCAGGTGTGGTGGCTCACACCTGAATCCTAGCACATTGGGAGACCAAGGTAGGAGGATTGCTTGAGGCTACGGATTTAAGACCCAACTTGGTCAACATAGCAAGACCCCGTCTTTAAAAAAAAAATTAAAAACAAAGTTTTACTTTCCGGGTATGTGAAGCAATCTCTTAAGGAACAGTGTGTGATGATATCTGAAATGTTAATAGAAGGAAGGATGTAACTGTACAGAAAGCGAAGGTTTTACATTAACAAGGGCTAAGTAAGACAAACAAGATCTTGTCGTCTTCAAATACTATGAAATATCTTTCTACAAATTTGACAAAGGTGATTCACAAAAACATACTACCAAGTTTATAATCTAAATGAGAGCAGTTGATGGAGAAAACAAGAAAAATGACATTTATAAAGCAGCTATCTTTTGACCACCAGAAATATCAGCTGGTTTAAATGTTAGAACACTTACTCACTTTAAAAATCAAGGAATCTTGAGAAACCCACCCCCACCCCAAATTAAGTCCAAGCTTATAAGCCCAGCACATACCTCTATGCAAAATCTTTAAACTCCACAAATAAGTAAGGCCTTTAACAACCTAAATTTAGGAAAAAGAAAACAGTACAATTACCAATTATGGTTTTTATAAGAACCTTTCCATATTTAAATATATCGACTTTTTTCTTTTTTTTTTTTTTTTGAGACAGGGTCTTGCCCTGTCACCTAGGCTGAAGTGCTGTGGGATACAATCACTGCTCACTGTAGCCTCGACCTCCTGGGCTCAAGCAATTTTCCCACCTCAGCTGCCTGAGTAGCTGGGACCACAGGTGTGTACCACCATGCCTGAATAATTTCTTTCTTTTCTTTTTTCTTTTTGGTAGAAACAGGGATCTCACTAATGTTGCCTAAGCTGGTCTTGAACTCCTGGGCTTAAGTGATCCTCCTGCCTTGGCCTCCCAAACTGCTGGGGTAACAGGTGAGAACCACCACATACAGCCTAACTCCTCCTTTAAAACTCTGTCAACCAATAAGCATTCACTGAACATCTCTCATTTCTGTGTGAGGCTCTGAGGGAATACCAAACGTTAAAGCCACAGGTTTCTTCCTTTAATGAGCTTATATTATTCTGAAGATAAGGTACTCCAAAAGAAAGAAATAAGTACATGTGTATATAAAATGATCTGGAAGTATATATGCTAAATTCATAATGATGCTAAGCCGGGCAAGGAGAGAAACAGGAAAAAGGGACAATGGCCTTCTTAATTTTCTGTATTTCTGTGTGTAAAACATTTTTTGAAGTCATGACACTTATGACCAAGGAGAGACTTTTTTTCTGAGACGGGATCTCACTCTGTTGCCCAGGATGGAGTGCAGTGGTGCAATCATAGCACGCTGTAACCTCAAACTCCTGGGATCAAACAATCCTCCCGCCTCAGCCTCCTGAGTAGGTGGGACTACAAGTGCACACCACCATACCCGGCTAATTTTAAAATATTTTTTGAAGGGATATGATTTTGTTTTGTTATCCAAGCTGGTGTTGAACTCCTATCCTTAAGGGATCCGTCTGCCTCGGCCTCCCAAATCTCTGGAAGCACAGGTGGGAGTCACCATGCTTGGCCTGAAGAGACATTTTTTTTTTTTTTTTTTTTTTGAGACTGAGTTTCGCTCTTGTTACCGAGGCTGGAGTGCAATGGCGCGATCTCGGCTCACCGCAACCTCCGCCTCCTGGGTTCAGGCAATTCTCCTGCCTCAGCCTCCTGAGTAGCTGGGATTACAGGCACGCGCCACCATGCCCAGCTGATTTTTTGCATTTTTAGTAGAGACGGGGTTTCACCGTGCTGACCAGGATGGTCCCGATCTCTTGACCTCGTGATCCACCCGCCTCGGCCTCCCAAAGTGCTGGGATTACAGGCTTGAGCCACCGCGCCCGGCCAAAGAGACATTTTTTAAAAGTTAAAAAATGAAATAAGGCAGTGGGTAGAATAGAAACTTGCTTTTCCTATTGGTAGTCAGAAAGGCTTAGTAACGTGTTGCCTCTTGAGTAACGAATTTAACTTAAATGAAAAAAGGGAAGGAAGTGTTTAGGTCAAGGTAAAAATATATAATCAAAGTGTTGGGGCAGTGTACTCTCCAACATATCAAAGTCATGAAAGACAAAGAAACTCTGAGGCATTAGAGAGGCATGCAATGAACAATCCTAGACTGGAAGTAGTGCCAGAATTTTTTCCTTTGGTCTATACAGGGTACTATTGGACAACTGGTGAAATTTGAATAAGGGCTATTGAGTAGATAATAGTATTATATCAATACTAATTTCCCGATTTTAATCAGTGATTACATAAGGTAATGTCTTTGTTCTTAGGAAATAGATACGTAACATATTTTGGGACAAAGGCTGTGGTATCTGTAACTTATTCTCAAATGTTTCAGGAAAAAATTTGTATATAGATTTTTAACCAAATGTGGTAAACTGTTAACAACTGGGGAATACGGATGAAGCATCACCTGTGGGAATTTTTTGTATTAGTCTCACAACTTTTCTATAAGTTCAAAACAATCTCAAAATAAAAAGTTTCCCCAAAATTTATAAAGTATATTGGGGGTAGGAAAGAACAAAGTATATCAAGATGGTCCTCACAAGCCAGTCTGGCTGGCGCAAGGCATATATGTTGACAAGGCACAGTATTGAAAGGGCAGATCAAGGAAATAAAATGAGAAAATACAAACATCCAAATTAGATTTGCATTTGTCACTTTCATAGCCTGAGTTAAGAATAATCAGTCAAATGAGATACTGAAAAAAAAAGATGTGTCCATGGCCTAAGTACATAGGTTATAAGTACAACCTACTAAGTGGAAAATTTAATCAGCGGTTGCCATTAATAACTTTAAAAATCTTCATGTATAAATTGCTATGAAAGGAAATGCACGTTTTATTCATAACCATTGACCATGCAAGAGTGTGAACTTACGAATTTCAAGGTTGATTATTCATAGACACCAGATACACTGAACAAATCACTATTAGTCAAAATTTACTGTAAGAATTAAAAAATATCCATCATTATAGAGAATTCTGGGTGAATCAGGACTATAAGAACTAAGAACAAGAAAACCTACCATTACCATGAGAAGTAACTGAGTGGTTTACGTATCTTGAAAATGGTAAGAAGAGGGTTAGGGGATAAATATGCAAGGATTCTAGTTGATCAAGGAAGCCAAAGAGCAACTGTAAAATAAAAAATGCAGGCTGGGCATGGTGGCTCATGCCGGTAATCCCAGCACTTTGGGAGGACAAGGTGGGTGGATGATGAGGTCAGAAGATTGACACCATTCTGGCTAACATGGTGAAACCCTGTCTCTACTAAAAATACAAAAAATTAGCCGGTCGTGGTGGCGCATGCCTGTAATCCCAGCTACTCGGGAGGCTGAGGCAGGAGAATTGCTTGAACCCAGGAGGCAAAGGTTGCAGTGAGCCGAGATCGCAACACTGCACTCCAGCCTGGGCAACAGAGTGAGATTCCATTTCAGAAAAAAGAAAGAAAGAAAAGAAAAAGAAAGAGAGAGAAAGAGAGGGAGGGAGGGAG